CTGTCGTACCCTAAGCAGAGCTTTGCCAGCAGAGGCAACCCTACCGGGTTGATTAAACGTACGTTTGAAAGCTGTCAAGAAATCTACAAAGGACATAGGAGATGTATTCTCCCACATGGGGTTAGCCCATGCTAAAGCTTTCCCGGACAGGTGGTTTATCAAAAAGGCAATTTTGGATCTGTCAGTGGGATAGGAACGTGGATTCATCACCAAATGGATGTCAATTTGGTTGAGGAAACCACGACACAATGCTGGGTCACCGCTGTAGCGCTGTGGCGGTGTCATATGAACAACATGAGCAGGAACGGGTACCGGAGTGGGAATGGGTTCGGGCACAGCAGCAGCAGCCTCCTGGACGGCAGGTTGCAAGTGTGCAGTACGAGCCAGTATGGTTTGTAAAGCTTGGGCAAACTGATCCATACGGTGGTCTAAACCATCCATTCTAGCCTCCTGATTAACTAGGAGCTGTGGTATGTCAGCAGGTTCCATTATGGCCCTGTTGTAATGTCACGATTCGGGGAACCAAACACGCCAACACACACACACAAAGTGCCGTACCGGACCTTAGAGTGGCCGGGCTAAGCACACAAAGAATAGTCAGGAAACAAGCCGAGTAAAGGGGAACCAGAAGACAGAATAACGATAGACAAGCCGAGGTCAAAGGGTAGGAGAAAGTCACAAAGTCGGATAAACAAGCCAGAGAGTACGTAACCAGAAACACAAGTTCAGTATCAATACTAGCAGGTAAAGACCACAACAGGGCGAAGAGGAACAGGAAAGGTAAGTATATAAATCCAAAGGTTAATTCTGATTGGATAATTTCCAATCAGAATTAACAATCACACGTGGGAGATATCTAAACCTCCCACTGTGATTGAGGCACTGTGCCTTTAACGCCGGGTCAGGTGACTGAGCCCGGCGTTTGTTAAAATGGGCGGTCTCCCAGCGTGCAGCGTCATGCATGCTGCCGCTGGGGGACACAGAGGAAGAGGCGGACGGCACCCGTGGGAGAGAGGATGCCACCCGCCGAGCGCACGTCTGGAAGGGGACCGCGGACGGCTGGAGGGTGAGTGCCGCGAGCGGACTGCAGCCTCCCCTCGCAGCCGCCCGCGGGACCCTGACAGTTCCAGTTTGAGAATGTTTACACAAAACTACTCAAGACTAATTTCACGAATTGGAGTGAAATGATTTCAGCTCTCATGTAAAAAAGTAATTTAAGAAATTTAGACGCAACATGAAACCCCTCCAAAACAAAACATAATAATTCTGCCATATTAAAAAGACCCTAGTACCATGATAGTGTTGTATATAATGATAGGCATTATTACAGCAATGTATGTACCCAATGCAGTCATTTTAGGGGTAGTTAAAATGAGAGTAGAGTTAGCTTTAGAGACTTTCTATGATTAGGGACTGGGTTTAGGTTTAAGTAGTCTTAAAGATGGCATGGGCTGTAATTGATCTTTATCTGGGTTAGTATCTTGGGTATTAAAGGGACACTATAGTCACCAAAACAAATTTAGCTTAATGAAGCTGTTTTAGTGTATAGATCATGATCCTGCAGTCTCACTGCTCAATTCTCTGCCATTTAGGAGTTAAATCCCTTTTATTTGTCCATGCATCCCTAGCCACACCTCCCCTGGCTGTGACTCACACACCATACAAAAATGGTTTCACTTTCAATTACATGTAACTTACTTTAAAAGTTCTTATTGCCTGCTCTCTAAAGTGAACTTTAATCATACACAGGAGGCGCCTGTGGGGTCTAGCAAGCTATCAATAGTGCAGGGGATAATAGATTTTAAATTAAATGGAATTTGCAAAGAAGGAAGTATAAACATTAGCTGACTCTTTACAGGAAGTGTTTAGTAAGGCTGTGCAAGTCACACGCAGAGAGGTGTGACTAAGGTGCATAAACAAAGTGATTTAACTCTTTTATGGCAGAGAATTGAGCAGTGACACTGCAGGGGAATGATCTATACACCAAAACTGCTTCAATAAGCTAAAGTTGTTTTGGTGACTATAGTGTCCCTTTAAAGGCTATAGCAATGTAAAGGTAAGCCTCCTCTAGCCCTTAATCTCCCGTAACCCTTAATCTTAAAGTCATCTCATTTAAATCTCTAATATTCTACAATGTTACAAACTTTCTCTAACCTAACCCTTACTATACTATAACATTTCATTATTGTTCGTTGTTACATGCAGTGTAATGCTGGTGCATTCTTATGTAAACAGACATATTACTGTGCTGCTATATAGCAACATCAGCATTTAATATTTGACATTTCAAAATGACATTTTAAGTATACATATTACTAATTCCACTGTAGAATAAAGTAGATTTTCTATAAGGTGAAATAGTGAGAACTATTTCATTTTAAAGCCTGTGTGAAGTTTCTGTGTAATAACATTGGGAATTCTATTTAGAATTCTTCACTACTTGGTGGAATTTCCCACAATGTGTAAGACTTATTTGTATATCATCACTTGTGTACAGAGTGTCTTAAAACTGTTTTCTTGTGGGATGCAGCTGGGAATGTACGCCAAACTACAATAGGTTTGATGGTGCATATGTTTCTGTTTTGGTACAGTATGCCAATTTATCTGGATCTCTGAGATACAAGTGCCGAGGAGTTGGAATAAATCTCCATCCACGTGCAGACCTGATGTTCCGAGTCAAGGATTGTGGTCCTGCCTGGCCCTGCTTCACTCTACAGAGCAATATCAATTTTATTAAAAGACACGGAGGCTCCTATTAGGCTTATCTCTTTCTTTTATTCCTCAGCAGCAAACGAAGCTAAGGTGTTTATTTATATAAAAAAAATTAGATGTAGTCATCTCTTGAAGGCAGGAGAATTACCAGATTTTACTAATTACAATGTCATAAAGTCATGATTTTATAAAGGACACGGAGGCGAGTATTAGGCTTATCTCTTTCTTTTATTCCTCAGCAGCAAAGAAAGCTAAGGTGTTTATTTATAAAAAAAAAAAAACATGCATGGATATACTCACAGGGTTAACATTGCATCATTATCTCTTAACCAATAGGAACAGTCCACATCTGATATCCTCTCATGTAACCTCCTCTTCCTCTTTCTTTGCTGCTGCCTCAGCTAAGTACCACCATTTTTATTGATCTGCACTGTCATTTCTGTAAATTCTATTGCTTTTGCTTAATTCAAGCGTTCCATGTTTTTTCTATGCATTGTGTGTTTGTCTGTACCTGCACATAGCACCAGCCCTCCCTGAGGGCTCTCTCTGCGGGGAAGCAGTTTCCGGCTCCCCAGGCGGTTTCCCACCAGTTAGGGCGAGTATACCGGTTTTCTTTCACTTATCCCCATCCGGTAGTTTATTACCCGTTCATACCCGCGGCGCCTGAACGCAGGGTACCCTGCTAGGACCGCTCGTTTCCTTAAGGGGTTTCTCCTCCACCCTCTCCTGCGAGCAGGTGCTGTGCGTGCATGCACAGTCACGGCCCCACATCATGGCAGTCATTTTTTGGGGGCGGCCGAAAGATTTTGCTGCTCTTTTCCTCCTCAGCTCGCACAGCCCATCAGGCAAGTGCGAGCTGATTGGCCTGTGCTACTGTCTGTCAGCTTACCAGTGCCCCCAGAGACCATTCCGGAGGGAACACTCGGTAAGCTGACAGTGTAAACTTTTTCTGTCTGCAATTTTGTCTGCCTATTTGTTTGCCTTGCCTTATAACCTCTGCCCGTCATCTCAGGGTATAATTAACAGTGAGGTTTTTTACAAACAGATCTGTTTTTTTAAATATGCAGGCCCCCAGGGACAGGGAGGATGCCAATGCCCACCACCGGACCACGGTGACTGGATTTAACCCCCGCACGGGGATGACGTGGCACCACTGGAGCAACTGAACTCTGAGGAGTTCCACTTCTTTCTAGATGCCACCATGTCTAAATCAGTCACCCAAACCATTTATACAGCAATGGAGGCTATGTCTGACAACATATCGCACTCCATTACCAACGCCATCAGGGCGTCCGGCCACAACCCCACTATACCTCGCCCCAAGGCCTCTGAAGACAGGCCTTACGCGAGGAAAAATCTTCGAACTAGTTGAAGAGGCCTTACCCGAAGGGAACCCTATTGACTTACTAGCCATTAGAGGCTGGGCCCAGAGATCAATATGCCTTATAGGCAACGCTAATGCCGCTTTAGCCACTGAACGGCGAAAAACCATCCTTATGAAAATCGAGCCCAAGTTTGTGAATATGGCCCTCACCAAACCGGGACCGCAAGCCAAAGGTCTCCTGTTCGGAGAGAATTTTGTTAAGGAACTAAGTACCTATGTAAGCACATTTACGGCCCTAGATACGGCACAGGCAAATATAAAGAGAGTGTTCTCTCCCAAAATATTTGGTGAGGCCGGCAGACACCGGGGCCGTCTGCCCGGCCGTTCATCCCATGGTTCTTACTGGGGATACCGAGGTCCCGCCACGGCTAGATTCCAGCCGCCTGAGAACAAAGCGCCCTCACCATTCTTTCCAGTCAGAGGCAGACCATGGCAACCTCGAGGATCCAAGGGCACCTCGTACAGCCGATGGCCTTATGGTGAGTGTAATGCCATCCCCATTCCCGGGTATCCCTACTGTAGGGGGCAGACTGATGCACTTTATAGAGCTTTGGCGCCAACTGACAACAGACGTTTGAGTCCTAAATACTGTCTTAGGTTACCACGTAGAGTTTGTCCAACCACCTGTCTAATCATCCTGGCCACACCGCATAGCTTTCTCCGTGCAAGACAAGGCCCTAGTGAGCAAAGAGATTCTCACTCTACGAGAAAAGGGTGCAATCTATCAGGCCCCCGCACACTCCCATGGGTTCATGAGCAACCTATTTCTGGTACCCAAGAAGGGCGGCGGAGTACGCCCAGTCATCAACCTGCGGCCTCTAAACGCATTTGTGCAGTACCACCATTTCAAAATGGAGGGTATCCACTGCCTATGAGACAGTCTACGGCTAGGGGATTGGATGGTCAAATCCCTATTGCAGACGAGTGTCACCAACTGCTCCAATTCCAATGGGAAGAGGCAACGTGGAGGTTCCGATGTCTCCCCTTCGGACTTTCATCGGCCTTGTGGTGTTTCACCAAGTTACTGAAACCTGTGGTTGCTTTATTACACAGCAGAGGCGTACGAATGATCATATATCTGGAAGATATGTTGATCATGGCACGCAAGGCCCATCAACTTCAACAGCACCTTTCCTGGGCAGTGACCCTGCTACAAAATTTGCGAGTACGCACGGTTAGGGAGCGCACTGCGGGCCTATCTCCACCGGAGGAATTTGGTCGTACTCAGAGAAAGAACTGGATATCAACAGTCTGGAACTCATGGCGGGGTCATTCGCCCTGAAGAGCCTCCTCGGGGCCGCAACCAACTGCTCGATTGTATTACGAATGGACAACACATCAGCAGTCCGCTACATCAACCACCTCGGTGGCACGAAATGAAAGATCCTGGCGGACTTGGCCAAGGAGTTCTGGCAACATTGCCTGGATCGCAATATTTCAGTCCAAGTGGAATACATCCCAGGCATGACCAACGTAGTAGCAGACTGGTACTTCATACATCTACAAGATGTCAGCGACTGGTGACTGGACCGCAGTGTGTTCTTACGACTTCAAGCGCTCTGGGGCCCGACGCAAATTGATCTATTCGCATCTCGGTTGAACTCCCAATTACCAGCGTTCTTCAGCTGGAGACCAGACCCGGACGCCCTAGCAGCGGATGCGTTTCTTCAACTATGGCCGAAGAGCCGATTGTACGCATTTCCTCCATTCTCCCTCATAGCTATAACACTGGTACACCTCAGACGTGTCCAAGCCTCATTGGTCCTCATAACCCCATTTTGGACAGCTCAACCTTGGTTCCCATCACTCATGGAAATGTCCATGGACCTCCCGAGACTGCTACCCGATGTCGCACATCTTTTATCAGACCCAGAGGGCAACCCACATCCCCTTCTGATTCAGGGGAACTTCAAACTCTTAGCGTGGCTCCTTTCAGGGGACCCTGGATCATACCAGATGTTCTACAGGAAACTGTCGAGTTACTGGCAGGAGCTTGGGCACCTGGAACAAGATGCTCCTATCTACATGCCTGGAACGGATGGAGTAGTTGGTGCATGGAACAACAGATGGATCCCGTATGTGCTCCTGTAAATTACCTGTTGCATTTCCTTACCCCAACCGCACCATAAATGTCTATAGATCTGCAATCTCAGCAGGACATCGGGGAATAGAAGGGACCCCAATGGGTCAACAACTGTTGGTATGCCGTCTCCTACGAGGAATTCGGTTTGCTCATCCACCACAACCCCGATACACATCACTGTGGGATGTCAATTCAGTCCTGCACCTGCTGGACTCCTGGCCACAAAATGAAGCACTCACACTTAAGCAATTGTCAGCGAAACTGGCCTGTAAGTCTCGCGGTCTGAGTAACGGTAACCCGTGGCAACACTCTGACCCCGCGGCTCTCGCGAGACTTACAGTGGAGGAGAAGGGAGCTGACCGGAACGGAGGAGAGAGAAGAGAGCTGACAGCTATAACTTACCTTTCCTGCAGCTCCTCTCTGCCAGCCCCCAACTGGACCGCCGGGCTCATTACAAGCCCGGCGGTCCTTGTCTATATTATGGCAATGTAAGTTGCCATAATACAGACATTGACTCGAGTTTGTGCTGAAAAACTCGACTTATACTCGAGTATATACGGTAGTTTCTTTTTAGTGAATATATCAAACAAGTAACGATTGTATGTTTACATATAACTGATTAAATAAACAGCTAAAATTTCCATAAAATAATAAGACGAAAATAGTTCGCAAGGACACGTTTTACCATTTGTTTTCTTTGTCCTTTCCAGATACCCACTGCGATTAATCCCGCAGTTTAAGAGCATCAGTTCCGGAAGATCCCTCGTTGCTTATGGAAGGATTCAACGTCAGGAATTCGGTTACCAGCCTATTTGTGTTTTGGTTTATAACAAGTTTTTTTGTTAATTGCTACTGGAGATTTTTTAGCTTCGGCATCATCAGGAAAGAGAAAGAGGAGGAGGTTACATGAGAGGATATCAGATGTGGACTGTTCCTATTGATTAAGAGATAATGATGTAATGTTAACCCTGTGAGGGTATCCATCTTTTTTTTTTTTTTTTTATAAATAAACACCTTAGCTTTCTTTGCTGCTGAGGAATAAAAGAAAGAGATAAGCCTAATACTCACCTCCATGTCCTTTATAAAATCATGACTTTACGTCATGTAATTAATAAAATCTGGTAATTCTCCTGCCTGCAAGAGATAACTACATGCAGGGGTAAGTTGTCAAATCTTAGAAGAACAGTTTGATTACTCAAAATGGTTCGGTGTTAGTGAACTCCAGGGATCATAACCATTACAACAGGCTGTATGTTATGGAGCTTTGATAATTCCTCTAAATTGACAAACTAGAAAAACATAAAAAAATAAAAATGGCCAGCTCCAGCTCATTCCTGAGGTGCCTTGCTGAAATTTGGGGATAAAAATATATGTGATAAAACTAGTTTGCTTCCTACTTTCCTGTGTTATAACCTTAAGGGATAGTATAGGCACACAGAACGCTTCAGCTCATTGAAGTGGTGTAGTTGTAGTGTCCCTATTGCACTTAGTGCTGTAATGTTAAACAATGCAGTTCCAGAGAAACAGCAATGTGTACTTTGCAGCTCTAAGTCTGCCTCCAGTGGCTGTCTACCAGAGGTGCTTTCTTGAAGTTAACAGACTTTTGGTCTGGTAACTGATGCTGGACGCCCTCAAGCTCTGTATGAGGACTTCCAGCAACAGCTATTTGCCCATAGGAAAGCATGGATTCAATGTCTAATAGTCTAATGTGCATGCGGCATTCGCCACGGATGGGCATTAGCGTCCACTTATCGAAGGACGTCGGAGGAGGCAAGCCATGACCCAGCGCCGAGTTGGATCCAATAGGAGTTTTCTATTTATTGCTCTATGGTTTTATCCCTTTCTTAGTTAGCACATAAAACATTCTCTTTAGAATCATACATTGACTCCTGCGTAAATATTGCCATGAGGCCTGACTACAATATCAAAACGGTAGTTTCTCAACAACTTTCTTCTTGCGATATTAATAGTTGATCAATACTAAAATGTCACATTTGCATCACAACAGTAACCAGGACACAACATGTTTTATGAGCAGTAATATGAATATTTTACTTTCTGTTGATTCTCAGAGATGACTTCTGAAAATGCTTGCAATCAAACCCTGCTAATCTGTCAAAAGCAACAGAGGTCATTCATAGCATAGTTTTTCAGTATGTTTACTTATACTATGAGAAACACATTATTCTGAGTGTCTTCATTGTGCTTTGAGTGGGTGAGAATCTAGTTGTCAAATTATGGTAATCTACAAGAAAATGTTGCACGAGTATTGACAAATGACAATCCCTCTACTTACTATAGAGTGCAAACTGTCTGGAGCAATAAATGTGAATTTAGCAAATCCTTTACATATACCGGTATTTGTAACTTTCTTTGTATGACTTTTTGATGGGACTCTCTAAGGTCCATATCTACCTATGCTCCTTGTATACCTTATGGTGCTAGGAACTCCATATCCCATTCCTCTTTCACCCTGTTCTTTATAGCTGTAGTAATTTGCAAAATAATCATTACAGCTCAATGGCTCTCTTTGTGTGATAGGCATAGATTGTAAGCTTCAGGTAGGAACCCCCTTTCAAAAATGCCAGGTTTCAGATCAGTAATGGACTATCTGGCCTCATTCCTTATCTATACATGTCTGTTACTCCACCTATTGTACAGCGCTACAGAATTTGTTGGGAATTTATTAAATAATAATATTAATAATATACCTACTGGTAGCCGTATTCTCATTTCTGCTTGTAGCAATACAGGGACATGGTGGGGATTCTGAAGGATTATCCCCCACACACAAAAATAAAATGTTACACAAAAATATGCGTGGCCATCATAACATTTTCTAATGCCCACCGAGGTGAAAAAAGTGTTTTACTGCTGCTACAGCTTTTTTTGAATTACAATTGCCATGACACTTTTTAAGCCATTATAATTAAAAGCATCATGCGTTTTGTAGCTCTTTAACAGCAGGGGATTTATCTTGTAGTAACACAATAGAGCAAAGGGTCAGCGCTAACAAGCCACAAAAACCAAACAAAGGCAGCACACCTAAAGGGATGGGGTTCCCTCACAAACCTCAAAAGTTATTCGAAAACAAAAGGGAAGAAAAGAGGAGGGCAACGCCAGTAGTATTATATTGTAATACATATAATACTAATGGTGCTATCTCCCGTCTTTATTTCCCCTTTTATTTATCTTGTAGTGCTTGCATTTAATGTATAATTAAAAATGTTCAGTTGCTGCTAGCCATTGCCGAGAAATTATTTATTGCTAGAGAAGTAGAAATGCACCCCTGGTAAACGTGCTATGTACTGTTGAATAACTTTTGTGGCTGGCTAGTAGCATAGAACTTTAAATTTTAAGCCCTGTATCATAAATATGATGAAGCTTGATGCAGCAGGACCTCTAAATATAAAACAGTTCTGTGGATCATCTGTATACACCTGAAAGTATGTCAGAAAACCAAATGGCAAAGGAGCTCTGACACTCCTTTTAACTCCTGCCAAGCAGTGTAGCCATGACCCTTATTCAAGGATCGGGCACACCATCCAAATTTTGCTTATTTATATAATTTATATTTTTTATAATTCTTTATTTTTGTTGTGCAAGTAAATACATTTCAGCATTTATCACCACAGCAACCACAAAAAGAGCCTAGCAGAAAAACACAGTGGCATGAGAAACTGCCCATTTTATGGTAAATAAACAGGTTAAATCACAATTTTTGTATATTTAACATTCTCATATAAAATGTCAACAGCTGGATAGGTATAAGTAGTCATTGAAACAGGCTAGGTAAACATTTTTGTTAATCAAGGTAAAATAATATAATAACAAGAAGAGAATACTGTGCTAGGCTGAGTAAAACTTATTAGTAAGAATCAAGGTAATATTTGGTACTAAAGTGTTACTAGACAAGAGATTGTTACTGGAGGGTAGACCATGCGGGAGTTAGATTGGCACTATAGTAGATAGGTCATCTAATACCCATGCTTGGCCTGCGGCACCCAAAGCCACCAAAAGTCTCCAGGTGTACGTGTAAAGCCACACAAAGTCCCTAGGTGCCCCACTGGTCCAAGGTTGTGAGAGGAGGCCAGAAGCGAGTACCCCTGTTTTGGTGATTTATGGTACCTTGAACAAAGTCCCAGACGCTATGGGGACAGCCCCTCCAGGAGTATGTGGGAAGCCTCATGTCAATGCCCCTGGAAGCCTTCAGCCTGGGTATGAGGTAGTGCACAGTAGGCACTCTGGGAGCCAGGTTTGCACCTGGTGGTCGGGACGATTTTCTCTTCCGGTATTGGCGCAGCGGTGTGGTTTGCTTCTTCTGGATTATGTCCTGAAGAAAGTTCTAATGTAAGAACTGAAACGTTGGCTGGATTATAAATTGTATTTAATCTTTCAATTAAATTCACTTTACCTGACAAGTCCTCAAGTGCTAGCTTTGCTTTTGGAGGGGTTATTTGAGAAGCTAAGCACCGGGCTCAAGACACTGGGAAGCAGGAGTGCAAGAATTTTGGAATAGTATATATATATAACTTTTTTTTTTTTTTTGCCATGTTGGGTCAGATTCTAGTCTTACCTAACTTGACTACAACTGCAAGCTCTGCTAATCAATCAGTTAAAATGGTACCATGCTTGTCAATCAGCCAGTCAAAAAGACCCTGGAGTTAAAATTCCATCCTTGACAACTGAATATTGAAAATGTAATGTAACTGTTATGAGTTCAATAACCGCTTTTACACTTACACCTCCATCATACAAAATTTTAAAAACGTGGAACGTTGTGAAACAATATATATGGGTTTTCTTTTAGGTAAAATATATGCATTTATAGAAATAATCAATTGAATGAAGCATGTAATTTCAGTACATTAATTATACTATA